GGGTCACACAATATCAAAGAAGGATCATTAAACAATAAGGAAAACACTAAACACTTTGGGTCTAAATGTCACACAATCACAATTTAGGCAAAAATAGTAAACTCAAGTCTTGAACATGTTTTCTGCTTTGAAATTTGTGCCAAGTTAGTAGAGATCTTTCAGGACTGTAAGGATTATAATTCTCATTGAATTGGTTTGCTTTGGGGCTTGGTTTTGCCTTCAAAGAACTACCTGGAAAAAAGTGGGAATTCATCCCTAGTCTTGCCTCATCAATATCACTTCCATATATCCCCATCACCAAGAAGGGCAGCCTGTCTGTATTCCCAAGGATGGGATAATGTTTACCTCCAAGGAAGATAAGAATTGCAGTGCTTTATGAACTATAAGGATAATGGGTCCCAGAAAGACTGCCATTGAGCAACCTGTGTGTCAAAATCTGGGTCTATCCTGAATTTCATAATAAGTACTGTGTACAATGTTAGGTGGCATCTTTTAGGTGGTCATAGGCCCCTACAGACATGCTAATCACATGTGCTCATAGATATTGCCAAATGTCTTCTGGAAGTCCCAATCATTCCTTGTGATCCATTGGTCTTATAAAAATTCCTAGATTTGAATATGGTCTGTGCCTTTCATTAGAGGTATGATGTTGGACAAACTTCTTAGCCTCTCCTTGCCTAGAATTTTCTCAGCTATAAACTAATGGTGATCATGTGCACCTCATATAGTTGTTTTTGAATGGAGTCAATTCCTGTGTATTGAGCCATGTTCATCTACCTGAGGCTGAGAAACTTATAAAGAACAAAAGTTGGCTGCCGGGTGGTGGTGGCGCACGCCTTTAATCCCAGCACTCGGGAGGCAGAGCCGGGTGGATCTCTGTGAGTTCGAGGCCAGCCTGGGCTACCAAGTGAGCTCCAGGAAAGGCGCAAAGCTACACAGAGAAACCCTGTCTCGAAAAACCAAAAAAAAAAAAAAAAAAAAAAAGTTGGTTTTGGTAATAGTTCTGCAGGTAGAGCTCTGAGAGCTAGCAACTGGTGGTGGCTTTCTTGCTGTTGAAATCCAAACACAGCACAAGTTATCTGTTGTGCCTTGATTCTGAAATGTCCTCTGCAGGCTCATGTTTTGAATTTTTGTCCCCAGCTTTTGTCACTGTTTTGGTTTCCTAAGTTGCTTTTAGGAGGCCAGGCACAGTTGGTAGCAGTAGATCCTTAGGGATGGTCTCGAAAGTTCATCACTATGTCCACTCCCACTTTCAGCTTCCTGATCCCAATGACGTGAGCGCTTCCAGCACATGTTGCCACCACCAGGAAAACCCAGTTCCCACCTTCCCTGCCATGGTGAGCTGAAAGTTGCTGAAACTGTGAGCCCAAACCAACCATTCTTCTCTTATAGTGTTTTCTGGTATTTTGTTACAGCAAGTTGAAGGTAACACAAACACATCATTAGAGGGAACACTTCTGGACAGATGTCCTCTGGTTGCTTTCTTTTATAAAACTACCAGTATTCAAGAATTGGAGTTTCACGATGGTGATCTTTTCCAATCCTAATCAATGTTCAAAGGCTCTACCTCTAAACCTCATGAACAAATTAAGTTCCTATCCTCTTAAGGTCTCAACTAAATTTCAAACCATGAACCTGGGAGGCACAGACTCAAACTCTGTTCCAATCAGAGCAGCTGCCTCTATTGGCAGACACCACATAAAGACTGTGTAAGTATGTTATTTTTATGAGTGCTGTCAACCAATTAAGACAATCTAAAGAATTCTAGAAGCTCCATCTTGGAATGGTAAATATATGGACTGCTAAATGCCATGCTATATAGAGGAATGTTAGCTGTGTGGTACCAGTTCTGAGTCCTTGATAACCCCTGGCTAAGTGTGGCTTAGACAAGGTGGGTACACCAGTAGAGCCAGATCCCATATGACCACATGAGAGCTGATTCCTCCTCTCTAGCTCTTCACAATGACCGATTGGGGATTCCTGTATAAACTAGAGCTATAGATTTCAATGCAAGGACAATTTGAATTAGACTATAATTATCTTTTTTGAAGTTCAAGGATTAATTTATCTGTTTTACACAAGGTAGTGTTGTTCACTATCACCAGAAACTAAACATCCAGTACACAATAAACTACTTAGTGCTCAGAGCCTGGGTATGCAATTATGGGTTATGCTGAGGATAGGGGTCAGAATGACAAAGAGTCAGAGAAATTAAGGATGCTTGTGGGTGCTTGAACTTGGGCTGTAGTCACATCTTTGCTGGTAAAGAATGAAGACTGTGGGCAGATGAAGGCATTTGGCTTCTTCATATTGGCATTGGTCATATATGGCTGGCTGCCTTTCTGTATGTAACATGTTGTTTCATAGTTTTTCGTGTCAACTTGATACAGGCTAGAGTCACTTGAAAAGTGGGAACCCCATTTGAGAAAATGCAACCCAGTCTCATCAGCAAACACATCAATGTGGCATGCATATGAGGGCAGCACCAGAAACTCTTCTCTTTGCCATGCTTGTATCCTAAGTATCTGGAATCCCCTCTACTAGGTGGGGCTTAGGCACCATCCAGGGCCCATGCTTCATGCTGCACAAACAGTGAGCATTGCGCGTGTTTTCTGTCCCCTGGTCTTTCTCGGTGTGATGCTTTTCTTTAACATCAACAGACAGTCATAGAGCAGGTGCTGACTTCTCAACGGCATCCTAGTCAGATGGCTCGTATGCATGGAAAGCTCTAGGAATTCCACAGTCCTTTAAAACGCATTTGTAAATGAGTCATGACTGAATCTTTATCTTTGAAAAGTTGCCCTTTTGTGCATGTGTGTTTATATGAGACATTTTATTGATTAACTTGTACGCACTGTTTGGTGTTTGTGGGGCTGTACTTGCAGTATTTCAGAAATTTACAGGTAGAAAAACATGGTTTCAAAATGTAAATGCCTACAACCTCGGTGTCTTCACTACATAATTTTTCCTCTAGCCCAGTGGTTCTCAACCTTCCTAATGCTGTGACCCTTTAATGCAGTCCTTCATGTTGTAGTGATCCCACCCTGGCCAACCATAAAAATCATTTTATTGCCACTTCATAACTGTAATTTTGCTACTGTTATGAATTGTAATGTAAATATCTGATATGCAGAATATCTGATATGTGACTTCTATGAAAGGGTCAATTGACCCCCTCTAAAGGTGTCATGACCCACAGGTTGAGAACCACTGTGGTTTTTTGTGACCAGATCTTCCTACCTAGATGTCATAAGACAAGATGTTCTATAATTTTGTATTAATTAGATGGTGGAACACATGTCAGCTGCCCCTGGCTGGGGATCCCATCTGGAACATTATTTGTCTAATATTTTGTTTATGTACATTGAAAGAGGGATTCTCTATTTGCGATCTTATTCTGTTTCCTTGCCACAGGATCAGAATTTCAAAGGGCAGGTGCAACAATTAAACGTTGATTACAGAGGTGCCAGCATCTGTGCAGGTCCTTTGTGCTGTGCTCACAGTTAACAGACAGTGGCAGGATGGGCTGCAGGTCTCTCCATCTCACCTTCTGCTTCCGCCTCAGCTCTGTGTCAGCCTGTCACTGCCTCCGAGATGCTGCCAGCCCTCCCTCCTTGCTTCTCACCTCCATCCTGCTTATGTTCCAAGCCCTGATGCCTCTTCCTGAGCCTACCCATCACCCCGATGAATGTCTAAGCCCTACCCCCTCAAGCTGTGTGGGCCATCAACAAACCTCAGCTTTGGAGGGAAGGAAGGTATGGCTGTTTTTGATGGCAACTGCCAATATGCCAGGCTTTCCTTCAAGCCTTGCCTTTTCTTTGTCTACATTTGCTTTACTCCTCCTGAATAATGTTTTGTTTTGTTTGTCAACTTGATTAGATGAAATGATGCCTAGGAAATTAGTGAAGCCTGTTTCTGGATGTTTTTTTAAAGAATGTTTTTAGAGATGATTAACTGAGATGGACAACATGCTCTGAATGCTGTGAGCATCATCCCATAGGCAGAAGGAACTAATAATGGCAGAAAGAACTAGACATGAGAAGCTCTCATTTGAGTTGTTGGGCAGGGCTTTCTAACAGACTCCTGAAACATACAGCCTATTGCTGTTGCCCTTGGTTACCCTCCAGAGGTGAATGGTAAATCTCTACTGGTAAAGACACCATATACTTCAAAAATATGGCCCAGAGGCCCCTGAACTGGAACTGACCTGAACAGGCCCTCCAAGAGGACTAGCATTCATGGTACCAGAGGTGCCATGCAAGTTTTCAAAGGCAGAAGGCAACCGACAGTGTTACCCAGTAATGACACCCATGAACCACGTCAATGACTATCATGGCACAACAATCCTATGGGTACAGTAGTGACACATACCTTGGTGGGTGGTAACCAACTGCTCTCCAGTTGGACCGCTCAATAAAAGGGAGACCATGGCTGGCTCTGGTGCTAGTGAAGTCATAATTATTGGAGAAGAATCTAGAACCACTACTTTATCAAACCAGCATAATCCCTAACTACAACCAAAAGACATTTGTCCTTATACCCACAGGTAAGTGTGGTCTTCACCCCTCATCAAAGAAACTTCTCTTTGTAATAGATGGAGACCACTACAGAAAACCACCACCAATCAAAATGTAGAGTTGTGGAGTGTAGTCCCAGTATGTAAAACATCTCCACACATAAAGCTCAGGGAACATTTCTGAAGCGGGGCACAGGGAAGACTGTAAGAGCCAGAGGATCAGGAAGTTCACTGTGAAATTATGTCTTCTAGAAATATTAGAAGGTACACCAATAAATTCTCACCAACATGACTGCCTAAACATGAGCTGAATACAGACAACAATAACCATGCCAAAGTGGATGGGGTAAAGCTCATGAGGCCTCAATCCTATATGAAAAACTATAGGCAACTGAGGAAAACTGGGAATGAGAGAGATGGCCATCCCTGGAAAAAAATACCAACTGGTTGTCCAGTACCAAATGGTCATCCCTGGAACATACAAGTAACATTACATGTACGTAACAGCTTATATTTAGGAATATATATATATATATATATATATATATATATATATATATATATATATATATATATATATATATATATATATATATATATATATATATATAAAACAATTGATGAAGAAAGAAGTGAACTTGAAGGAGAACAGAGAGGGGCACATGGGAGAGTTTGAAGGAAGGGAAGGGAAAGGAAGGGAAGGAAAGGGAAAGAAGGAAGGGGAAGGAAGGGGAGGAGAAGGGAGGGGAGGGGAGGGGAAGGGAGAGGAGGGGAGGAGGAAATGTTGTATTTAAATTACAATCTCAAAAATAAGCAAAAAAAATGGCAAAAAGAGGAAACCTGCTCATTCAGACATTCTTAGGCCCCACTTCCTGACCACCATGGCCTGAGCACTGTGCTTTTACATGCTGTCCCTACCATTCTACACCAAAACCTCTGAAACCATGAGTTGAAATAAATTGGCTTTTCTTTCTTTTTGTTCTTGTTCTTGGGTTTTGAAACAGGGTCTCACATGTACCCCTGGTTGGTCTCAAGGTTCTGAATCTCCTGTCTCAGCCTCCTGAGTGCTGGGATTACTA